TGTTATTCAGGATCTGGGATTGGCAACATCACGAGGTAGAGGGAAATGCAAGAACCCCTCTTGTAGTTATGTGTATACCAACAGGCACAAGCCACGAATCTGTCCAAGCTGTGGATACAATCTTGCCAAAGACAGAGCTGAGAAAACAGCCAAACCCTTGGTAAGGTTTGGAATAGTTTCTTATCAAATGGCTCTTGTGGGGTGGGCAGGGAAGTACCTTAGTTTGCCAGTGTCAGTGGGAACATGTTAATTTGTTTCCGTTATGTTAAGATTTTCTAACAGAATAATGTGCTATTGGAAATACTTGTGATGAGGTTTGTACTGCCCAGCTGCTGCCACAGTGGTGTTTCAGGCTGAGAATGAGACTTGAGTGCACTCAGTTCTACCACTGGATGTCTCTGTAGCTTAAAAATGCTTACGGCGTGGCTGCGTGCTGGGGAAACCACCCCTGAAGGCACATTTGTTGTGTCAGCTTTGCTGAACTTCAGACTTCATCAAGAAATTCCCAAGTATGCTCTGCTTTGTGGTCAGTGTGTGGCTAATGTCAGTTCAGTTGGTACATCTTGTTTTAGAGCTTCCTATATCTGGGGGTTTGTAGTGCAAATTTACTTCCAGCCTGAATTTATTTCTGGATGTAAGGTTGGTTTCTTTTTCTGTTGTAGCAGGGTGCTTTTCAGTTGTCTCTGTTCTGCATGGATTAAATGATGGATTCACATTTTGTTTCTTATGATTTATTTTTTTTCATTTGAAATTTCAAAGCTTAGCTTTTCTCATATGGAATTGTTTTGTTTTTAAAAAATAAGAAAAGGAGATATCCTGTTCTAGCTGATATGCCCACTCAGCATACAGACAGACTGCATTTTAGTTCTGTGGTAATATAACTCATCCACTTGCCTTTTTTCATTCTGAAGAACACAACTTTGTGTGTTGGTTTTTTTTTTTGTTGTTTTTGTTTGTTTTTTTTTTTAAAAAAACCATCCAACCAACCAACCTGCAGTGGCCTGTGTGAAACTCACACATAAGCAGCTGTGTAAGGAACAGCAGCATGCTGAGCTCAGCTTGCATGTTGAGAGGCTTGTGCCTTGTCTCTTCCCCATTTGTTGTTTGCTTATTTTCTGGTTCTAGATGTGCTTAACATTCCTGTCACACAGTTCATTGTTTGTCTCTGGGCTTTGGGCTGGTCATTGATCTCCCTGCTAGGTTAGACAGAAAACAGGTTGAAGTGCTGGCAGAAGAGCTGAAGTGATTAAGCAGATGAGCCTGGTTGTGTTTGTGCTGTTCTGAGCCACCCAGAGTTTGGTTCTCCTGTGCCTTGTACACTTTGTCTTGGTAGCATAGGTGTGTTGGGGAGGAGTGTCTGCAGACTGCAGTTACCCATTTAGTTGATTAGTGTGTCCTGTATGTCACAGCCCCAGTCTGCAGGTTACGAAGGTTTCCTGCCACCTTCTGTGGCTCCTTCTGGGCTTCGTAACATTTCCTCCCTGTGCTCGCCTAGTTGAACACGTGTTTGACTTGCTTTCTAGGAGGTCCCTGCGGGTCAGCCTGACGTGCTGAACCCCAGCGAGCCCCTGAGCCCCTCCCAGAAGGAGACCCAGCGCCAGTCCACGCTGCAGCTGCTGCGCAAGGTCCTGCAGATCCCCGAGAACGAGTCGGAACTGGCCGAGGTCTTCGCCCTCATCCACGAGCTCAACAGCTCCCGCCTCATCCTGTCCAACGTGAGTGAGGAGACAGTCACCATAGAGCAGACCTCCTGGTCAAACTACTATGAGTCTCCATCTGCGCAGTGCCTCCTCTGTAACAGCCCGCTGTTCAAAGGGGGACAGAAGTAAGATTCTGTTTTGGACTTGTGACTCTTTCGCCCTCGTGCTGATGCTCAGTGTTCCAAGCGTGCCTGAAGTAACCTTTGCTTTAGCCCCTGGTGCAAGCAACAGGGAATAAGCTCCATGTGTGTGAAAGGGGTTTAGCTGGGTAGGGAGAAGCTGCTTCTGTTTCTCCTGTGTGGTTTGTCCTAGTTGCATTTCTGTGCAGCAGGAGAGCTTGATCAAAGAGTGACTGCTAAGGCTAAATGTAATTTTTATTTTTTGAAACAGAATCTTTTCATTAGTCATCCTCCTTTATTTCCCAGTCTGATGTTTTGAAGCTGACAGAGGCAAAATTGTGGGATAATGGTTGTGCATTATGTGATTTCCCTTCTCTCTCTCTTCTCGATCTGAATGTTTCCTGTGTAAATCTCTTTGCTTATGACATTTTCCTTCTTTTCATGGCTTAGTGTGGGCTTGAGTGAATCCTTTTTGGAACAAATATCCAAACTGAAACCTGAAAAACTTTCAGAAACTACCAGTGTATAGGCTGGATTACCTTATCTAGTTTTGTATAAAAGCCCAAAGAGTTTCTCCTCGCTGAGTCTGCAGAACATCCTCTTGTTGCCAAAAGCCTGAGCTGAAACATTTCCCGTGGCAAAATTTTGGGTAGTTTACTGTTGTGTTTGTTTCTTCAACAAAAATGATTTTCTGGATACCAGTTATGGATATTTGCTTTGGTCAGGCTTGTACTAATTGGGATTTTTCCAGCAGAGATGCTTTTTATACTCAGTAATTTCTGCAGAACAGTGCTGTCTTGCACCCTGTCCTGCACCTTGTGAGTTACCAACTTGCACGTTGTAAATCCTTGTTTCTGTGCTGGGCTGCTTGGCAATGCCCTGCCTGTGGGACTCTGGTGTGTGCCTCTGTAGGCTCTGATTAAACCCTACCAGTGGGACAGGGCTGCCTTGGACTTGCATTCCCGTTTTCTCAGGTGGGCACCTGCTTTTCTGCCACTAGGGCAAAACTGGCATTCTCCTGTCTGAACTTCCTCCTCAGCAGCTGTACTGCAGAGGAGCAGCCCTTTCTGAGTCTGTGTGCAGGGGCAGCTGTCAGGTAGAATGTGTTACTAGTCACCATTTGTTGCCCCACAGGAATAGAGCTGATGCTTCTCCTGGGGCATCTGGTACCATAGATTTTCTCCACCTCTCAAATACTATGTGCCCCAGCTGTGGAGCTGGAGAGATGCTGTAGTGTATGAAAAGAATGTGAGCAGTGACCTGACTCTGCCAGGGGACTCCATTTTAAAATGTAGCTGTGTGTTTTTTTTTTCCTGGTGTGAATTGCTGTGAACTGGCTTAGAATGGCATATTGGTGAGCTAATCTCAACTAGAATGTTTTAAGTTACTACAGGACTGGACTGAAAAACACGTTGGCTTGACTCTGAGTTGTCCTTTGCTGTCTGTTACAGTTCCCTTGCTGGTCCTCAGGAGTGCTGGCTGCTGACAGCCAACAGATTACAGGTGGTTACAGCTCAGGTCAAAGTGTGCTTGAACCTGCAGTGTCTGGCCCTCCATAGCTTCACTGATATTTACACAGGTAGGACAAATGTCAGCATACCAACTTAGAGCATGACTAAAGTCTGAACCCTTCAAGAGCCTCAGGACTGTATCAGGGCATTGTCTTTGTGCAGAAAAGCCTGTTCCCTGCCCCAGGGAATTAAACTTGAATTAAGTTTAAGTGGGGTGTGGAATTCTGCAAGGCAACCCCTGAAATCAGTCTGCAGGGAGCTGTTCCTCACTGACTGGTGAGACTCAGTGGCAGTCACTGTAAGCCTCCTGCAAGGCAGCATGGAGCTGAGGAGATGGGTTGGCTGCTGCTCCTTGTAGGCTTTTAAACTTAAAGGCAAGTCTGTGAATGGAGCTAATCTTGCTCATGTGCAGCAGGAACAGTCCCAGAAACACTGGCCAGCTGTTTCCATTACCCTCTGAACTGTACTTATATGAGTGTGTTGTGATCACTAAGGAATATATTTTTTTGAGGAAGATCTGGAACCCCACAGACAGTAACTGTCTTGTTTTAACCGCAGGTCTTTTCAATGTGGGTAACAAGCTGCTAGTGAGCTTGGATCTTCTGTTTGCAATCCGAAACCACATCAAACTTGGAGAGGATCCCAGAGTGGCTGTTGGCAATATTCTCGACTCTGTTCAGGAGCAAACTGGTGGGTTTTCCTTCTTGATTTTTACCAGGACATGTACACCAAACTGACCTGCTGATGATTGTTAGGTTATAAAAAAGGCAAAACTCACCCCTTCTGGTGTGGTGTGTTTCTGTTAGATCACTTCCCAAACACAACAGCACCTCTGTGACTAGTTCTTTGTAACAATTCTCTGGAGGACAGGTCTGGTTTTATTCTTTGTAGGAGAGTTCTTCTGCCTCTCCACCGACTTAAGGAAGTGGAAGCTGTAACAGTGGTCTGTTGTCTTTTCAGTAAAAAGCCTGAGCCCTGATGAGAGGGTTCAGCTCCAGGAACTGCTGTGCAATGGCTACTGGGCCTTTGAGTGCCTAACAGTCCGGGATTACAATGACATGATCTGTGGGATATGTGGCATAACCCCCAAGGTGGAAATAGCCCAGAGGAATGCGGAGAATGTCCTGGCACTGAAAAATATAGAGGTAGGCTTTTCACAACCTTCACATCCTGTTCACGTTCACAGCAGATGATAATGACTTCTGCTGACTCTGGTCTTCATAATGCACGATAATTACACGAGAACTTTGTGAGCAGTTTTCTGCTGAGGCCTGGCAGGAGGATGTGGCCGGAGTGGCGATGCCTGCACTTCCCCTTAGAGGTGTTGATGTATGGTTTGGGGAAAACAAGATCCTCTGACCCTGGACCACAGCTTCTGTCCAGCAGCCTCTGACAGTAGGGACTTTGGATGAGAGTTTCTTAACTTGGCCTTCTTCCTTTGACAAAAAGGCTTTTTTTTTTTTTTCCCCAACAGTACTTTCCTTGAGGTGCTGTCTTCTCTAATAGGGGGGAAAAAATCCCTACTAGTAGCATACAGCTTGTCTGCCTTTTAAATAAGTTTTGACACTCAATGAACAAAAAGTGATTGTGGGGAACTCTTGGAGCCTGAAGTCATCTGACAGAAAACTAACTACTACTTATTTGTATCTGATCAGTGTGTTTCTTGCTCTTTCTAGTTTACTTGGCCAGAATACTTGCCACCAAGTGAAGTGAATGTAGAAGAATTCTGGTCCACCATGGAGACAGAGGTGATTGAGCAGGTGGCTTTTCCTTCTAGCATCCCCATCACAAAGTTTGATGCCTCTATTATTGCTCCTTTCTTCCCTCCACTGATGAAAGGAGCAGTGGTGATCAATACTGAGAAGGACAAGAACCTGGATGCACGGCCGGTGCCAGGTAACTGTTGAGGTTGTGCTTATTAAGCAAATGCTTTACATGGCAGTGACTTCAGTCTTTTGGTGATGTTCAGAGTTGAGAACCAATGATTACATGACTCTTTAAAAGCTCTGTCTGCTGAGAGAAGGCAAGAACTCGGGGCTGAATTCAGCTGTTCTCAGGATACTCAGCAGCAGCTTGAGCTTTGGCCTGCCTGGTGGAGCTTGAATGCACTGGTGTGTTCTGATGCATTTGAGACATAAGTCCTGCACCCCAAAAGAGATAGTCTGACTGCAGAGGGGAGCTTGCAGAACTTGAATGCTAGTCAGTATTTATTTCATGCTAGACTGATAACTTGGAGTGTGAAAGCTGCAGACAGTGCTTGGTATCCCCATATCACAATCTCAATGAAGGGTGAATAAGTTTTTACAGAACTTGAAAAAAACATCAGGAAGTGGATGTTGGTCCTGATCAGTGTAGTCAACATTGAGTATATCCAGGGCATTGACTGCATGTTAGAAGAAACCATGAGATGAGGAAGCTCAGATGGATGACAGCTAAACTTAGTTAGCACCTGGTTCCCTTAACAAGCTAGGTATTAGGTATAAGAAGGAAAACTGGCTTTGCAAATTTAACAAGTATGAGTTGGCTTTGCAGACAGGACTGCAGCTGTTTGAGAGAGTTGAGCTGCAGAAGGGCTACATGGGCTTTCATGGAAGTGGAGCTCCAGAGGGAGAAGCAGGGAGGAGATGTGAAGGGTAAGCCTGGAGCTGTGCAGTCCAAAGGCTGCAGTCACAGTTCTGTGCTCTTATGTCGCTTGTTTATCCTCAGGTCAGTCCAGCTGGTCATTTAAAGGTTACAGACAACAGGGTAGACAAGGGTTTGTGGAGTCTGCAGCTCTGCCAGGCTCAAGCTGGTGACCTCACCAGCAAAGGGTTCAAGAGAAGTGTGGGCTCTGACACTTCAGGACTACTCAGAGCTTTCTCTTGCTGGCAGTTGGTTGTGCGGTCTCTGCTTCTAGTGTCTTCTGAAGAAATTATTTTGGTGACTTCCCTTCCTAAGAATGAGTGCTGAGACTTGTTTCCTGCCTTTGCAGGTAATGGGAGTGTCTTGGTGAGGCTCCTTCAGGATGAAATCTTGAAGCTTGAGCTGATCAGCTCCTACAGTGAGGAAGAGCTGCAGAGCTTTCTGACACAGTGTAGCATCCCCTGGGAGGCTTCAGACACAAAGGTAATGACTTGTTTGCACACATCCCAAGCCTGCAGGAGTCTTCCTGCCTTTCCCTTGTTCATGTGTGCCATCCTAGATAATGAACATCTCCTCTGACTGTGCTAAGGGCTGGGGTGGGTTAGAAGTGAGTGCCTGCAGATTATAGGATAATTTATAGATGGTGAAATAAATTGAACCTTTGTGGGCTAGAAGAAAGGAAGCCTGTAATTACCCTGTCACAGGCTCAGCACCATGTAATTGCTTGTCATCCTCATGGTGCTGAGTGTGGGATTAGGAAGTTATTGGATGAAGTGCAAATTAGGATTTGGGAGAATTGCCCACAGCCTTCTCCCTCTCTGGAGGAGTCCATTAATTTTAGGAACATACAGACTTTCTGTGGGCTTGTCTTTTCTAGGACCAGCTCTGCTACTCCCTGCTGGCTCTCTATGAGTTTGTGCAGAATGGGTCAAGCATCACACCAGCCTCTCCTCATCACACAGGAGGGAAAATCTACAAAGTGTGTCCACATCAGGTGAGGAAGGCTGGAGTCAACAATGTTTTTTCTTACCTTGCTGTTCACTATTATTTGATTTACCAGTGTGGAAGTCCCTCATTAAGTAGAAGGAATGGAGTGGGCCTCTCTGAGCCCTGGGCATGAAATGCACTGCCCTGGAGGGCTTGGAGTGGAGCAGTCCTGCAAGATTAACTGGTGATTTGGAGCCTGGTTTTGATGTTGCTGCTGAGGTGGAGTTGAAAATCACCTCCTCATGAACAAGCTAAAGGGAATGTGTGTGAGGAGGAAGCAGAATTATCTTTAGAGAAAATAACTGTCTGGAATACCTGAAAGGAAGCTTAATTTTTTAAGACTTTTTCCCCTATAAATTTTCCATTTTATTGTGCTGTTTGATGTTAATCCTTTTCTTTCCAGGTTGTGTGTGGCTCAAAGTACATAGTAAGAGGAGAAAACGCCCGGGATCACGTGGACTTGTTGGTTTCCTCCCGTCACTGGCCTCCAGTGTATGTTGTTGATACAGCCTCTTCAGTGGCACTGTGTGCAGACATCTGCTGGCCCGGCCTGACTGCCCAGATGTGGGGGAAGAACCAGGGCTGCTTCTCTGACCCCATGGATCCTCCAATGGTTAGTTATGTCTGCCTTTGTGCTCTGCTATGCCAGTCCAGTGTGGAAAAGTTTAAAGTGACATTTAAAAGAATAAATAATAATAAAAAAGTCTATGTAACCTGCTCTGAACCTCAAGAGCAATGTCTCCTGCCTCACAGCCTTGCCAGCACGTAGCTTCTGAGTGTCATGGAGTGCATTGCTCGTTGCTTGAGGCATTGTGTGAGGTTCATGCCCCTTAGGAGGAGGAGCTGTGCTGGAAGCGCATTGGAATGGTTCAAATTGTGAACCTTGGAGCGTGTCACTCGTTCTGATGCAGCAGCTCACTTCTCTTGAGCTCCTGCTTCTGAGAAATGGGAGGGGAAGGGGGTTGCTAGGTTATCTCTGAGGGCAAACAAGTGAGGAAGGAGGGACAGAGCCACCTTTGTGGCCCTTGGGGGAAGCCTAACCCAGCCCTCCCTCTCTCTGGGGTCACGGTGCTGGTTGGGCTGAAGCCAGGCGGTGGTTTTGGCTCTCTGTGGGGGAGCCCCTTCTCGTTCTACCTGGCGCGTGTCTCTGTCTCCCAGTACGTCTCCTGCCCCGAGCTGCTGGACCAGCCCTGCAGCGTGGACGTGGCGGCGGCCGAGCCCTCCCTGCAGCACCCCGTCAC